ACCCCATGGGGGGCCAGACATCCTCGCATTTGTTTTACCTGCGCGGAGGAGCCCTGTGGCGAAGAGGGAGAACGACGACGAGGGGACGACGCGACGGAGAGAGCGGCACGACAGAGGGGACGACGACGCGACGAGGGGAACGACGACGAGGGGACGACGGCCAGACATCCTCGCACGCCCCGCTCTCGCCCCTTCGAGCGCCGCAGGCGTCGAGACGCCAGGAGTACCTGCCGCGCGCCGAGACGCCTGACGTCGCCAGCAGTTGCACGAGCGTGGATTGCCAGAAGCCCTAAGTTTAGGTCGGGCATGTCCTCCTGCAGGCGCCGTTTGGTAGAAAAGTGCAAAATAGCCAAAACATATGCAAACACAGCCAGACAATGATCGACACATCGTCCCCAGGCTGCTTTTGAGATCTGTTTGAACACTCCCCCTGTAGAGGGAGAGGCCCGACTTCAACCTGGGTGGTCGGCATTGTACCCACGCCCCTGCTCACGCCCCGACCCCCGCGAGAGGCCAGAGCGGGGATAGGGGCAATCTTTCCGGGCCTCCGAGGCCGCGCTTGTTTGCCCATGCCTTCCTGCACCTGGCGCCCATACGTGGGGGCAGCAGCAGCAGGGGTACACATCGAAGCCCCGTCGCCGAGGGATGGCTTCTCCTGTGCCCATCGGTCGGAAGAAGTAGGCAGAACCGTGAAGCAGGGAAGCGTTGGCAGCAGATTGGCTTCCACCCGCCTCCTGAAGAGGAGGAACGAGGGGAAAAAACACTCGACTCCTGCAGTACAGGAAGGCGGCTAGAGCAGATCGTGAACTGGGCATCCAAAAAATACCTGCTTTCAAATTCCGGGGGCGCATGTTTCGCTTCCGCCGCCGTCCGCCGAGCTTCCGCCGCCTTCCGCCGAGCTTCCGCCGGCCGAGGCGGCCCCGTCTTCCTTCACCGACCTTCCGCCGCGGAAGCGATGGCAACTCCTCCGATCCTCGAAGGCGGGGCGCTTTGGGGAACGCCCCCCGTACTTGCTGTTCAGAAGTGCTTCGGGCCGCCTGCGCACTCGTGGTGAGGATCCTGTATCAAGCAGTGGCGAAGCGTCTTGGCTCGCCTATAGCCCTACCAATCAATGTTCTAAGAACCTGTTGTGGTTTCCACGAACTGTTCTTGGAACATTTCTGGCGGAGCCTGTCTTGTTTTAACACAACGGGTTGATGTTCTAAGAACAGTGCTGTTGTTCTTGGAACATTCTGGGGTTCTAGGAACATGTCGTGGGAGGACTATAGCAATGCCGGGACGGTCGGTCCCTGCTCAACTGTACTCTGGACGCCCGAAATGCGTACGGAAAGAATGGGTACAATGGCCAACAGCAGTTCTTGTTCATTTTGAACAGGACTCGCTGTCCGCGCCGCCGCGGCCTGTGTCCACTCGAGACAGAAGGCCGCCTGCCCAACAGCGGCCGCTGTTGGTTTGGGACAACATTAGTTGCTGGGCATTGTACCCATTCTTTCCGTACTCCAGATTTCGTAATAAAGGGAGGGGGGTCTCATTTCGGGGGGGGGTCTCTTCCAGGCTATCTTGGAGGGCCCGGGGGGTCCGGGGACGATGCTTTGGAGGCTTCTCCCACGGGGGAAGTCTGAAATGGCTCGTCCTGGAGGGTCCAGACCCCCCCCCTTTTATCACGAAATCTGGAGTACCCATTCTTTCCGTACCCATTCCGGGCGTCCAGATGTACGCCTGAGTCAGGAGGGAAAGAAACACACAGACACAATTAATCGTCGATTCCCAGGAAAATATGGGAAAATATGGGAAGTGGTGGGGAAGACAGAAACCCAGAAAATATACGAAAATATGGGGAATCTTTTTATTTGTGTGTATTTATTTGTGTGTCCTGGGGCCCCTTCACTGAGGCCCCTTCTCCCCGCGCGCCGCCTCCGCGGCCGGCCTCCTCCGCGTGCCCCGACGGGCACGTGCACGGCCCGCCGGCCCTCTTCGGACCCGGCCCCCCGTCCGCCACCGCTGCTGCCCAGGACGTGCTGCAGCGGGGGCCCTTCCATCCTCGGCCTCGATCCTCGTCCCCGATCCTCGATCCTCATCCTCCCTTCCTCCAGGTCTCTAACCTATACCGCACGGGGGCCGACCACGAGAAGCCTTCCCCAAGAAACCCAGCCCCGAGGCCCCAGGCCGTCCATGGACTTTTGGCGCGGGAGCGCCGCGCTCTCCATCGCGAGGCCATCGAGACCCAAGAAACCAAGGGCCCCCCCCTGGAGGTGAGCAGGGTGTTTCTTGGCATGGGCCTCCACGGTACTCCACGGCGAGAGGCTGTCGTGGCACGCGCGCAGGCACGCGGCGGCAGGGCAGGAGCACGCGGAGCAGCAGCAGCGCCCGCCGCACGGGAAGAGGGCGGCGCGCCGCGAAGCTCCATGCGCTGGACCCCCCCTGGCGCGCGGAGCGCGCCAGGGGCGGCGCCGGAGGCGCCGCCGGGGGGGCCCAGGCGCCGAGCCAAGAAATCCGCGCGGAGCGCCAAAAGCTTTTATGCTTATAGCCCTTGTTGTTCTTCTTCTTCTTCTTCCTCTTTGTCTTATTATTCTTCTTATGTTTCTTTCTCTTCTTCTTAGAATCTTAGAATGGGGGCGCTGGCCTCGTCCAGCAGGGCGCAGTACTCGCGCAGACGCCGCCGGCCGCCATTCTTCTGCGGCGCGCACTGCTTGAAGTGCCTCCGGCTAACCGCGTAGACCACCGAGTCCTGGCGCGGCGCGCGCTTCGGTGCCCAGGAGCGGAGGGCACGCCCTTCACCCGCGCACCAGCGCGGCGGCCCCGCGGCTTCTGGGGCGCGGCCCCGCGGGTGCGCGGTCGCACGTCGGGTGAGCGGCCATCGGTTTGGACGCCAGAAATGGGTACGGAAAGAATGGGTACAATGCCCAACAACAAATGTCGTCCCAAACCAACAGCGGCCGCTGTTGGGCAGGCGGCCTTCTGTGTCGAGTGGACACAGGCCGCGGCGGCGCGGACAGCGAGTCCTGTTCAAAATGAACAGGAACTGCTGTTGGGCATTGTACCCATTCTTTCCGTACCCATTTCGGGCGTCCAGAATTGGGGGGTGGGGGTGACCCAACTGGGGGGTGAAGAGTACCCCCTGCGTAGAGCAGAGAAACTCCTGGGTTCAGGAGACCGGCTTCGCTCCAGGTCCACTCTGCGGAAGAAGGGGCTCCAAGAACACGCCCAGGGTCCAGCCCAGATTCTTGACCTTCTGGAGCGACATCTTGGAACATTTCTGATCAGTGTAGGGCCCTACAGGGGCCCTCTAGGGCCCTGGCTGGCTCCCAACAGAAGCCCTACGAGGGCCCCCGGATGGCCCTGTTCGTCACCCCCTTTGGAGCAAAGGGCTCCTCTTGGGCCGCTTCAAGTCACCCACCATTACGACCCGCCCGCGCCGCACGACGGTGCGCTCCGCGCGGGGCAGGGCCGCGAAAACACGCCCCGGATCCGCAGGGTCGCGGCCCGCGGGCCAGGCTCGCAAAGCCGCGGACAGGGATGCGTGTTTCGCCCCCCGATCGGCGGCGTCCTGACGAGGGAAAGATGAGGAGGAGGAGGAGGAGGAGGATGCGAAGGACGATGATGATGATGATGATGATGATGATGATGATGATGATGATGATGATGATGATGATGATGATGATGATGAGGAGGAGGAGGAGGAGGAGGAGGAGGAGGAGGAGGAGGAGGAGGAGAGGAGGAGGAGGAGGAGGAGGAGGGGGGAGAGGATGGAGGAGGAGGAGGAGGAGGAGGAGAGGAGAGGAGGAGAGAGGCGGAGGAGGGAGGGGGAGAGGAGGAGGGAGGAGGAGGAGGAGGAAGGAGGAGGAGGAGGGGGAGGGGGAGGAGGAGGAGGAGGAGGAGGAGAGGAGGCGAGGAGGAGAGGAGGAGGAGGAGGAGGAGGAGGAGTGAGGAGGAGGAGAGGTGATGGAGGAGAGGAGGAGGAGAAGGATGAGGAGGAGGGATGAGGAGGAGGGGAGGTGATGGAGGAGGAGGAGGAGGAGGAGGAGGAGGAGGAGGAGGAGGAGCAGGCGGAGGAGGAGGAGGAGGAGGCCGAGGAGGAGGAGGCGGAGGAGGCGGAGGAGGCCGAGGAGGAGGAGGCGGAGGAGAAGGAGGAGGAGGAGGAGGCCGAGGAGGCAGAGGAGGAGGAGGGGGGTGCAGGCCTCCTGAGAATCCCCCCGTGGCTTCGGAGAAGGCTCCGAAGACCCCTCGGCAGGCCAGGAGGCCGTCTGAGCCTTCCGGCCCGCGCCCTCTGCCCGCCCCGTCAGGACGAGCAGCTGGGCGTCGGCGCGGCCGCAGAGGCTCACGACGCAGGCACGCAAGGACGAGAAGAGGTGTGACTCCGAGAGAAGTGGGCGAGGGAGGGCCAGCTGCCAGTTGGTCCCGGGGGGTCTTTCGCCGTGCTCTGGACCCTGGGGCCCTCAACGGGAAGGAGGAGGAGGAGGAGGAGGAGGAGGAGGACGATGACGACGACGGCGGCGACGGCAACGCGCAACGACGACGACGATGACATTTTTGTATCGAAAGTCTGGCAGTTGCGCGCCAGGCACCACCCTCGGGGCCTGCTCAGCTTCTCCGAGGCCGAACAGCTATGACTCCAGCACGCGCCTGGCCGCAGCGTGCGTGCGTGCGTGCGTGTGTGCGTGTCTGCGTGCGTAAGTGCGTGCATGCGTGTGCGTCTGCGTCTGCGTCTGCGTCTGCGTCTGCGTCTGCGTCTGCGTGTGCGTGCGCGTGCGCGTGTGCGTGTGCGTGTGCGTGTGCGTGTGCGTGTGCGTGCGCGTGCGCGTGCGCGTGCGCGTGCGCGTGTGCGTGTGCGTGTGCGTGTGCGTGTGCGTGTGCGTGTGCGTGTGCGTGTGCGTGTGCGTGTGCGTGTGCGTGTGCGTGTGCGTGTGCGTGTGCGTGTGCGTGTGCGTGTGCGTGTGCGTGTGCGTGTGCGTGTGCGCGTGCGTGTGCGTGTGCGTGTGCGTGTGTGTGTGTGTGTGTGTGTGTGTGTGTGTGTGTGTGTGCACGCTTGTGAGCGTTCCTGGCCCAGGGTGGCCGAAACAGGTGGAGAAGAAAGCTCCTTAAACTTGATCGCTCTTGGAAAGATTCGATGAAACACGACGTATGTTCCAACTGCAGGGCTCTGGACAAGAAATTGTGCTGCGGTGACTCTGTCGAGTGACCACGCCGTCAGCGCCATGCGGCTCAAAAATTGGGACACGAATCAAGGCGCAGGGGCAGGACAAGACAGGATGCAGAGTCAGATTGCACAACCATGCTTTTGACAACCGCCCGCCCACCACCCGTGCAGCACGCCCTCCTGCCCTACCTGCCCAGATCACGAGACCCGCAGACTTTGCTCTTCACTGCGAGGAGCATCCCCCGAAAAACGAGCGTCACGTGTGCCAACCACTCGAGCGTGGGCCCAGGTTTGAACAAGGTCCGCCCTGCAACCGCCTGGCCGCAAGAGCTGCAAACAAGGACGAGCATGCAACCGGAAAGGTGTCCAGCACTGGCTCCGTCTCGAAGACGGGCCGCCCTGCAATCGCGCAGCGGCTGCAAACCTAGACCTCCGGGTGTGAACTCGCAAGCCAACAAAGCGAGAACAGGCAGTTGAAAACGAGCCGCCCTCACCCCTGTCGCACAATTTCCTAGCTCTTGCAATCAATTCTCAGGATGCCGCCAACGAAAACCACAATCTGAAAAAGACCGTTCCCCATCCGCGTAGTTGGCTGTTGTAAGCGTGTGCGCAACACGAATGTGCGACGGCGCCAGGGCGAGAACAAACTTTTCAACACCACTCGCCCACCATCCGTTCAACTGCTGCACGCGTGAAGGACATGACTGCGCGATGCCAGGCAAGGACAATATGTTGAAAACTAGCCGCCCGTCCTTCGTCATTGCAACTGTTGGGGAATGTTGGAAGCAACTGTGCACGGCGCTGGGACGGGGACCACAAATTGAAAACCGCTCGCCCTTCATCCATGCAAGCATTGGAAGTTTGTACGACGAGTGTGCGCGGTCCTGGAGCGAGAGAAACATCTTCTACACCTCCCGCACTCCAGCCATGTAGCTGTAAAGAAGTTTCAACGTCAACGCCAAGAACGGTGAAGACCTTGCCTGCCGACACGCCCTCTGATGCGACGTGAAAGGGTAAACTGTGAGGAAGATAAGTTGGGCAGGGGCCAAAGGAGGGCCAGGAAGGGGAATGAGAGGATGAGGAGAGGCTAGGACGTACCGAAGCCACCCACCACGGTTGGCAACACCCAGAGGGGGGGGGGGCTGTGTTAAGGTGCGTGGCGTGCCCCCCCTCTGCTGGACCCTGGCAGCAACCATCGAGGGCATGGTCGCGTTTGAACCCGCATATGTGACTGGATCCCGATGGAACTCCCCAGGGGCCAACGATATCAGTGGCGGGGGTGGGGCGCCCGGCAGCTCAGCACCCAGATAGGACGAGGGACCATCTTATGTGCGTGTGTCACCGCCCCGCGACACACCAGGGACGCAGGAGAGAGGCGTCGTTTCCTGTCCTGACAGCACCCTGGAATGGCGAGCCCGACTCTGGATCCGCCGTTCTTTCGGCGACATCGTACTTCTTGATGCCGATGTCCGTCCTGCTTTGCCGTCGCTGTTTCCGCCATACTTTTGCATCCGTACCCGCTCTACTCGTCTGAGGCGGAGCCTTCCGCCACATACTGGCTCGCATCGTTTGGGGTGACTTCCCGACGCTGTCTTGCGTCGGATAATCAACTCAAGCACGGCGGATCTGGAGCCAAAGGAGGTCTCATCTGATCTGCTGCCCGGGGTACCACTCTCCCAGGCCTCCCCCGGGGAAGATCGGGGCAACCGTGCGCCGAGAGGCCCAGCACGTGCGCGGAGGCGCCCGCCCTGCACCCCCCGCCACGCCTGGGAGACCCAGACATCCGACGCCTCGCTTTTTTCGAGACGTGGGCCCCCCGACCTCCCGACCGCTGCTCAGGGGCCGGTTTTTCGCCCCGAGTCGTTCTGTTGACGGTCCCGAGGCCCGGCGAGGGCCCCGCGAGGCCGCCAATGACGAAAAGCCTCCATCTCGATGTTTTCGAGACGCCCGATGTCTGGGTCGTCCCGGAGGAGGTTGGAGAGCAGGAGGAGGAGGAGGAGGAGGAGGAGGAGGACCCGAAAGGCCGCAAATGGCGAAAAGCCTCCGCCTCGATTTTTGATCGAGACGCCCAATGTCTGGGGAGCCTCAGCCCTGGCCGCGTCGCCCTGGCCGTGCGGCGCCAGGTGGGCTCGGCGGACGCGCAAGGGCAGGTGGCGGTCGCCGCCGGGGGGAGGGGCCTGACTGGGGCCTCCAGCGGCTTCTGAGCACCCCCAGAGCGCTGTGCGAAGCGAACCTTGAGGAAGGCACCCCGAGGCGAGAAAATCCCGAAGAGGTGGAGGAGGAGGAGGAGGAGGAGGAGGAGGAGCAGGATCAGGAGCAGGAGCAGGGTTCTTATACTCCAAAGATGCTCGAACCGAAACATGTTATTAGAACATTTCGTGGGAACCACAAGAGAGGTTCTTAGAACACTGTTTGGTAGGACCATAGGCACGCCAGGAAGCTTCGCCACTGCTTGAGAGATCGGGGCGGCACCGCCACGTCGGCTTCGAGGCGGCACGCCCGGCAGGCGCGAGGGCGCGGATCGACACCCGCGGCCAAGCTCACACGGCAAAAACTGAGGGGGGGGGCGGCCTGCGGAGCAGACCTCGTCGGGAGGGGCGAGGGCAGGAGCAGGAGAAGCTGGCCCCTCGCGGCTGCGGTCGCTGGCGCCAGCCAGGGGTCAGCGGGCAGCGTGGCATGTTGCCTCCCGTGCTCCCACTGGGGCAGCCAGCGCGGGAAAGCAGCAAAACCAAGAGGAAGTCACGGGCTACGCAGAGCTTGAAGAAGGAAGAGGGTGGTCATCTGGCAGGAAACTGGCCATCGCTCGGACGCCCATTCTCTGTGGCTTTGTTTCGGCTCGTGCGTGGTTTTCTTCGCCAAATGATCAAGGATGCCCCTCGATGGTCCTCGCCGAAGGAAAAATGCACACGTCCGAGCGATGCCGAGGAAATGACGGGGAGGGAGACAGGTGCCAGGGGAAAGGGTGGCCAGAATCGGCGATTCAACATCACATCTCTTGCCCCAACGGTCCTCCCCATGACGTCCCCGCAGGCGTTCCTCTTGAGTGAAGGAAGCGCCCCGCTCAAAGACGAGCGCTGCATGGACCAATATCTCCATCCTGGGTTCGGTTTTGAAAAGGATCCACCCTCTAACCTGTTGCAATACCGTAGGAGCTGCATAGAAGTGCAATCATAACATTCGAAGAACAGTCGGGCGATGGCTCCGTTTTGCAAAGGCCCTCCTGCATTCGCACAGCGATTGCAACATGAAAGCCCTCAGCCATACAAGTGCAGGGAAAGCGAACACCCAGGTTAAAAAAGGAGCCGCCCTTCGTGCCTGCTGCGCAATTCCCTCCCTGTTGGAAGTAGCCAGCGAGAACCGCATGGTCAAAGAGGGCCGCCCCGCATCCACGTCTTCGACTGTCGGGAACTTGCAAGTGGCATGGCAACATGACGTTGTGACTTCGCCGAGGCGAGAACAACCCTTTGAACACCACAAGCCCGCCATCCGTGCAACTACTCCACGCATGTAGGGCAAGCGTGCGCGGCGCCACGGCAGACGCATAGGTTGGAAGAGCACCCGGCCTTCATCCTTGCAGCTGTTGGAACCGTTCTGCACGGTGTGCGCGGCGCTGGGGTGGGGGAGAAGGCGGAGGGAGGGGAGGGGCGAGCGGTTCAGCAGACGTCCGGGAGAGACCCATCATGCTGCGAGTGCGGCTCAAGTGGTCCAAGCGCTCAAGTGCATGACTCGGATGTCGACGAAGGTGAGCCGCGCCAGTGGGCTCTGGAGCTGCTCCTCCGGGACTCCGACGTCGATGGTGGTCGCGTACGTGAGCTTCGCCTTGACGTGCTGGAGCGCCGGGGAGCGGAAGTGGACTGGGCCATGGGGGTATCGCGAGCAGGCGGGTGAGCTGCTAGTAGAGGACGGAACAACTGCCCAAACGTTGAAGGCGCCCCAGGACACACAAATAAATACACACAAATAAAAAGATTCTCCATTTCCATATGTTCTGGGTTTCTGGCTTTCCCCCCACTTCCCATATGTTCCTATATTTTCTGGGGAATCGACGATTCATTGTGGCTGTGTGTTTCTTTCCCTCCTGAAGCATAGATTTTCGAGAGACCACGCGGCCTTCTTGGGTCGGCGCGGGGCTCCCCCTTCGGGCGCCTCTGACGCGCAGCCCCTGGCGCGCTCCGAGCAAGGCATAGAGGGCAGAAAATCCACCCCGCTAGTATCGGGAGCGGCCAAGAGGGGGGTGTCCAAGAGGGGGGGGTGCAAATCATGACCGGCGGCATGTGCGCGGCCCAGCGGGGGGGCAAGGGACGTAATGAAATAAGAAGGGGCGCCATGAAATCTGGAGAAATATCATGCCCCCCGCCATGATATCCACCCCCCCCTAGTCATCACCCCCCTCTTTTCCGCCCCCGATAGTAAGTAACCACCCCGACCCGTTTCGTAGACGCGCCCAAGGGAGGAATCGAACAGGGCAGGGCTGTTCAGTAAACGCCCAGGGCCGCTCAGCCAACGCCACTTGCCTGGTCCATGGGTCGTTTTTTCCTCCCTCGAGGACATTCGCGCGGACCGCCGAAAGGTTCGCTTCGAGCAGCTCTTGCGTCCTCGAGCTGGCAGGACTCTGGGCACCTCCGGAGCGCCGCCGGGCCAGCTCGGTCTGGTACCAGGTCTGCACCCAGGCGATGAGGGGCTCCCGGTGGTCGGGCTTGACCCACTCCTGGCCAGAAGGCAGGGGCAACAGTGTTTCCCGCACGCATGCACGGTTCGCCTTGTTTACATCGAAAGAACATTGGGCGCCCGAGTTATCCCCCCGGGGTGACTCGGGCCCGGGGTAACGCGGGTTTGGATTCCCGAAGAGCGAACCCGAGTTAACCCTGACCCGAGTTACCCCTGATGATTCGGGGCTCTGGACGCCCGAGTTATCCGGGGAAACTCGGGCCCGGGGTAACTCGGGTTCGGAATCCCGAAAAGCGAACCCGAGTTAGCCCTGACCCGAGTTACCCCTGATGATTCGGGGCTCTGAATGGTTCGCCTTGTTTACATCGAAAGAAAAGAGGTTTCGACACCTGGTCGAAAGGAGGGGGCGCGGGGGGGTCCGGGTCTGGGCCAAGGCTTCGTCGATCTGCTCGAACCAGTCGCGCAACGACAGGCTGGGGGAGAGGGGCCCGGGCCTGTCGCCCCAAGCAGCCGCCGGGAGCAGCCACCATCTGGCCTACGAGGGAGGGCATGTAACCAGCCTCGAACGTATCCCTATCCCTAGGATTGACACGCCAAATGGCGATGACAATCTAAGGGATCCGCCCTCAAAAAATAAGGGAATCCCTGAGATTGGCAACGTGAAGAGGAGATGCCCAGCATAGGGATAGGGATATGTTCCAGGCTGGTAAGCATGGGGCAGGGGGGGGGAAGAGGCCCGCGCCCATCGGCGCATGCATGTTGGCGGCGCACACAGGGCGTGGCGCCCACGGCGTCTCGTCCTTCTCCTCCTCCTCCTCCTCCTCCTCCTCCTCCTCCTCCTCCTCCTCCTCCTCCTCATCCTTCTCCTCCTCCTCCCTCTCCTTCCTCCCTCATCCTACTACTCCTTCCCCCTCTCTCCCTCCTCCTCCTCCTCCTCCTCCCTCACCTCTTCCTCCTCCTCCTCCTGCTCCTCCTCCTCATCTACCTCCTTCTCCTCCTCCTCCTCCCCCTCCTCCTCCTCCTCCTCCTCCTTCTCCTCCTCCGCGTTCCTCCGCCTTCCTCCGCCTCCTCCTCCTCCGCGTTCCTCCGCCTCCTCCTCCTCCGATCTCCGCGCCACACACTCGTAGGTGCCGCTGGGTATGCGCGGCGCCGTCGGCGCCGCCCTGTGAGGGATGTGTGGGGGGTCAGGGTCTGGCGGCGGCGGGAAGCCGACATCACCTCGGAACACAGCAATGAATCGTTATGCTTGGGTGGGGCCTCGTATCCCCGACGCCCTGGTGTCTTCATCCGTTGGCCCCTCGACCCTTTCCGCGGGACCGGTCTGCCGCCCTGGAAGAGGATTTGATTGCCCCAGGGCCCGAGAAAGGCCCCGAAGGCCCGAACTGGGGGACCAAGATTTCTGCAAACAGAAAACACGACGTCCAAGGCCTGGCCTGTCACTCTGGCACGAAAGGGGGTCCCCAAAGGAACGGCCCCGACAGAGCTCATGGACCCTCGGTATCTCCCCGACGATCCCCACGGCCTGGCTGGGGGGGGGGCATAAGACGAAGACCAAAGACCCCTCTCCGTCATGACCCCTCCCCCGAAACATCCCACGAGGTGATCTGTGCGGTCCGAGGGTCCTTGGGTTCATGGTTGACAGTCCTGGGGCCCGAAAAGGGCCACAGGAGGCCGAAGTATAAGGACGAGCGCCGCGAGTGAAAAGTCAATCCGCTGGGAGGCCCGCGCTTCTTCATGCCGCGGCCGCTCCAGCAGCTCGCGCGCCCCGCGGGAGGCGCGGGCCGTCCGCCTGCCGCAGCCCCAGAACATCCCGAAGCCCGAGGAGAAGCTGTGGATCGCCCAGCGCTCCGAGAGGACCTCGATCCACACGACGATCTGGCCGTCGTCCCCGCCGTCGTCCCCCACGGAGAAGCTGCGCTCGGAGGATGGCGCGGCAAGGCTTGGGGGTCGGAGATCGGAGAGAGCGCGTTTGACGGGCGCTCGCCTTGGCAGCATTCCGCGGCGCGTTTCGAACCGAGGGATGGGCCCCCCCCAACACCCGGCGCCGTCGATCAAAACCAGGGGGACTCCCCTCCCCCCCACCCTCCCCCTTCTCCCGACCCCCCCGCCGTCCCAAGGGGGGGGGGGATTCAAAACCCAGCCCCCCCCCCCCGTTCTTGGCGCTGGCGCTGGCGCCGGCACTGCCGGCCGCCAGCAGCGCCGACGGCGGGGACGCAGCGACGATGACCAGAAGCAGCTCAAGGGGGGGAGGTTCAAAACCCTCCACCTCCGCCTGGCGCAGGCGTCGGCGCCCGCGCTGGCGGCGGCCAGCAGCGCCGGCGCTCGCGCCGGCGACAGCGGGGACGCAGCCACGATTACCACCACTATCACCACCACCTCCACTACCACCACCATCACCGCCTCAACCCACCACCACCACCACCAACCCATCACACAACCACCAACTCACCACACCACCACCACCACCACCACCACCACACAACCACCACCACCACCACCACCACCACCACCACCACCACCACCACCACCACAACCACCACAACCACCACTACCTCCACAACTCACCATACAACCACCACAAACACCCACCACCACTACCACCACCACCACCACCACCACCACCACGATCTACCACCATCACCACCACCACCGCCACAACAACCACCACTATCAGCAGCACAACCCACCACCACCACCACCACAAATCACCACACCACCACCCACCACCACCACCGCCACCACCACCACCAGCACCATCTCCACAAACCACCGCCACCACCACAACCCACCACCACCACAAACAACCACCACACCACCACAAAACCACCGCCACCACCACCACAACCCACCACCACACCCACATATCCAACACCACCACCACCCTCGCCACCTACCACCACCACCACCACCCACCACCACAACCACCACACCCCACCACAACAAACCACCACACCACCACCACAACCACCACCACAACCGCCACCTGCCAACCGAACACAACCCACCACCACCACCACCATCAACCGTCGTACTCGTCGCGCTCCCCGCCGCCGCCGCCCGCCCGCCGCAGGCGCCTGCGCTAGGACAGAAAAGGAAATCGTTCGGTCCCCGCCGCGCCGCCAGCCGCCCGCCGACGCAGGCGCCGGCCCGAGGAGAGAGAAGGGAGTGACGGGGGGGGGGGGGATTCGAACCCCCCTCCCCTCCGTCACGGGAGGGGGGGGTGTCGAACCTTCCCCCCTCCATGCAGGGGCGGGGGGGGGGTCCAGTTCCAACCCCCCCCCCCCTCCAAGCGACCACAGAACGCGCTCTTTCGGAGATCGCGGGTCCAAGCCTTTGGGCGTGCTCGGCCCTTGTTTGGCCCGCGGGGGCGTCCCGGGGCCCCAGGGAGACCTCCGACTGCCTCCGGGAAGATGGCTGAGTCTTCGGGGAGGACTGCGCACAGACAGCACCCGGGGGCAGACCAAGCCAGGCTGGTCTCAACATGCATCCAGGACCGTCCAGGGCAATCTCAACGCCCTGTCTTGAGCAGGGACCGACCGTCCCGGCATTCCGATAGGCCTACCACGACATGTTCTTAGATCCCAAAACAGTTTTGATAACCAAACCATGTTCTTAGAACATGAGCCTGAGGTATGAAAACAAGACTGTCTCGGCCAAACATGTTCTACGAACAATTCGCTCAAACAACAACAGGTTATGAGAACATTCTCTGGTGGGCCTATAGGCGAGCCAGGACGCTTCGCCAGGACGCTTCGCCTCTGTCGCAGGAGCTTCTGCATGGCGAGTCGCTGTGGCGGCCCCGGCGACACGCTGTGCCCTGCAGGCGTATGGCGCGTCGTTCCGATCCGCGCGGCGGGAACCTGGCAAAGGCTCGAGACGTTTGACGCTGGCGGGCCAGGACGTGGATAGCGCGTTGTGCCGAAGAGTGTTGGGCCAGAACCCTTGCGCGACCCTTGGGACGGGAGGCACCCTCGCCCCGGCGGAGCGACACGCCCCCCCACAAGATCCCGACCGCAGGCGGCAGGCCGCTTAGGACCCCAGGGCGCTCCGTGCGCCTGTGCGGCAGCAATAAATACCGAGGCCGCAGGCCACAAGGCTCCTTGTCTGTCTCTGCTACGACCCCCTCGGCCCACATAGGGGAACATCTCCTTCGCCTTCTCCTGCTCCCTTCCACCTTAATCCCCCTCCTCCTCCTCCTCCTCCTCCTCCTCCTCCTCCTCCTCCTCCTCGTATTCGCCGTCGTCTTCAGGGTCGGCGGCACCGGCCGCAAGGCCTTAGCAATATTGAGGCCGCCTTGCGCGACCCTTGGGACCCGGGAGCCTGCTGCAAACTCACCGGCCGTCTCTCGCCCCTCGCGCCCTGCGGGCCGCTCGCCGAGGCGCAGGCGGCGCAAACCTGAACTCTTTCGGCGGTCCGCGCGCCTCTCGGATCGGCACGGGCTGCACCCTCGCCCCGTCCCAGGAGGCCCGCCCGCATGTTGTGAGGGTTTCGTGCCGTGGCTCCCCCGGCGCGCGCGGCATGTGCCGCAACGCTGATCGAGAGCCCCGGCGCTGTCCGAGTTGGACCTGATCTGGACCGAGTTTTGAACACATTTGGGATTGGATTTTGGACCAGAGACGCCCCTTCAAAAGGGAGACGAGAAGAACGAGGAGGGGAAGGCGGACCAAGAAGGGCAACCAAGAGGAGCAGGAGGAACGGCCAAATGCAGTCCAAGCTCAGGAAAACTCATTTCAATGTTGCCACCCAAGGCTCCAATGAACAGACATCTACCTCATGCTGCATAACACACGCTCAGCCGAATACTCAGAATTTCCCAGACAGGTGGCCCGCTCCGCTGGGAGGCGGCCGGGGAGTTTGAACTGGCTGGGCCCCAGAGAGTCTGTCAGGAAGGGGGATAACGGCAACTCCGTTCAAAATCGGTCCCTCCTCCCCGAGTCTCTGGCTCAGTTCTTCCCCCTAGGGAAAAGGAGGAGGAGGAGGAGAAGGAGGAGGAGGAGGGGGGGGGGGGAGGAGGGGGAGGAGGAGGAGGAGCAGGAGGAGGAGGAGCAGGAGAAGGGCGGAGGAGGAGGAGGAGGAGGTGGAGGAGGAGGATGAGGTGGAGGATTTGGAGGTGGAGCCCAGTTTCTTTCCCCTGGAGCCGTGTTTCACGCCCCCGCGAAGCCCGAAAACGGCCCTCGGAGGCCGAGAAGGGCAACAGAGACCTGCCCCGAACCCAGCGCCTCGAACCTTTCCGCCCTGTCGTGCTGGCCAGAACCAGTGCAAGGCCACCTCTAGAAGAAGAAGAAGAAGAAGACGAAGAAGAAGAAGAAACACCACCATAAACGTAAACTTTTGGCGCTCCGCGCGGATCTCATGGATCTGCGCTGGGCCCCCCTCCCTGGCGCGCGGAGCGCGCCAGCAGCGGCGCCGGAGGCGCCGCCGAGGGGGGGCCCAGCCCAGCGCGGATCCGAGAAATCCGCGCGGAGCGACAAGAGCTGACTTTCACGGTAAGGGGCCCGACCACAAGAAGCCCCCACAAGAAACCCAACCCTGAGACCCCAGGACGTCCACGGATTTCTGGTCTGGGGACGGCATGCTTCCCGCGGGAAAAAAAATCGGAGCCCAAGAAACCCAGGGCAACCCTGGAGGCAAGCAGGGTGTTTCTTGGCATGGGCCCTCACTGTATGGCGCTATTTTTTCTTCGATCCAACGCCGTTTGGGCCGCACGGGGTCGTCGCACGGCACCCTTGCCCCTTCCCCTCCTCCTCCTCCTCCTCCTCCTCCTCCTCCTCCTGCTCCTCCTCCTCCTCCTCCTGCTCACTCCTCCTCCTCCTCCTCCTCCTCCTCCTCCTCCTCCTCCTCCTCCTCCTCCTCTCCCCCTCCCTCCTGACCGCTCCGAGCCCCGACCTCCCGAAGAGAAACTGAGGAAGAAGAGATGAACGAACAATACTAGAGACAACGTACGATAACAACATCCGAAGGCGTAAAACCAATGGTCAAGAACCAAGGTAACAGAGTGCCGGGAATGGCGAGGAGGAGGAACGGCCGGGGCCGCGGCGGGGGCGTCCGGCTCCCCGCCCGCGGGGGGCGCCCGCCAGAGGTCCCGGTGCGCCCCCCTTACCGCAGGAGCCCTGCTCGGCCGGGAGCGTGGCCACGCGCTCCGCGGCGTCGGCACGGGCTCGCGCACGCCGATCAGGTGGAGCGGCCCTCGCGCGGGCGAACGCTCGGCTCCCTCCTCCTCCCTGCTCCTGCTCATTGCTCCTGCTCCTGCCCTGCTGGCTCCTCCCCTCTCCTCCTCCTCCTCCTCCTCCTCCTCCTCCTCCTCCTCCTCCTCCTCCTCCTCCTCCTCCTCCTCCTCCTCCTCCTCCTCCTCCTCCTCATGTGTCGATGGGTGCGGGATCGTATGCGGGGGACGCCTGGGTCGTCGCCTGGGCGGTGGGAGAGCCTGTGGGGGCAGGGCTTTATCCATATCCACCGCCCGGGAACCGACGTCCTGGCGCCCCAGCGGGAAGTGGATGTGGATATATTTCGGCCCTCGGGAGCCCGAATATGTCCACATCCACCGCCTGCCGAGGCTCCGAAAACTGACCCTCCAGGAGGTGGTCATGTATAAATTCCCGCCTCGGAACACCGATCTGTGCCCAGCCTGGGGCCCCAGGCAGGCCCCAACCCCTCGGGCTCCCCGCTCTCGCCCCCGCGGGCTTCGCCGACGTCGGAGGATTTCGGGCCGCGCGGTTGCTGGGTTGAGAGTCGGCGGCGCAGAGGGTCCCTCGAGCGCGGGCAGCAGATG